GGTTTGTGACAAGGCACAGTGCCACCTCCCGGCTGCGACAAACCCAGCTCCCTCGCGGCGACACCCTCCCGCAGCCAAGCCACGGCTCCAGGCATCCCATTCCCGGGTTGGAGAAGGGGAGAAGCTGGTCCAGGGCTCTCCCAAATCCAGATGCGTGGATTCCATACACTAAACGCCGGTGTCCGTGTGCCCAGAGGCCAAGCTGCTTTTATTGGGCTGGACGGTGCTGAGCTGCTCTCTCGGGCTGGGTCACTGCACACGGGACCCACAGCAGCTACTGGAGCAACAAGGGGAGGAGGATTCAGGGGCTCAGCAGCTCAAGTCCCAGCTGTCAGTCCTTCCTCAGCTACATTTCAAGGCAGATTCTACTCCTCTCCCAGTGGGAATAGTCACAGAGGTTGTCCATGTGCTTGTTCCCTGTAGCGCAGGGAGGTTCTTCTCCGATGATGGGGCCAGCCACAGAGGGGAGAGAGCGCATGAACTCTGCTGTGGAGTTGCCAGAGGATTCAAACTGGAGCTGAGGACATAATCAGGACATACCTCCTCGAGGCAGCTAGCATGCTGAGCTCAGGTCGCCACGTGGGAGGACTGGAGTTGCTCTGGACATCACAGGGACAGGATGAAGTGTGGAAGCACTTGATGTGCTTGAAGAGCTCAAGCAGCACAGTGCCCAGCAGCTATGCTCTTGAGGGTGGGGGTGCTGGATTGGTGATTCTGGAGAAGAAGAGATAGCTTTTGGGGTGGGGAGAGTGCAGCCTGCTGCTGCCTCCCCCCAGGCAATCACCTCTCCCTGAGGGATCACAGTGAAAACCCATTGTCTATCTAGACCAGACTCCTGCAGCTTTGGAGATGACATCTCCATCCAACAGCTCTCTCCCGTCCTCCCTCAATTCCATCTGCCTGCACTTCTCCCTGAGCTGGGGCAAATCGCCACGCTCCGCCCTCAGCCCCAGGTGGCCATTCCCTCAGCCTAACTAGATCCCACACCATCTTGGACTACGAAGGCTTTGCGCCCTTTCTGCTGTCAGCGGCTGTGCCGCCTGCTCCTTGACCCCTTTTCCCAAGGGACCCCCCTTGTGCTGAGATCTCCAGTGCCTCAGGGCAGCCCCTTCTGCCAGCTGTTCACTCACAGGGCCCTGCCCCAGAGCTGCACGATCCTCTGGGGTCTGCAGAAAGGCTGTAGTGTTACCAGCTCTGCCCTGGGGCTCAGGACGAGCCAAGAAGGGGCAAAGGCTTTGGGAGTGGATTGCCCCTTTTGCACGGGCAGCCTTGGCATTGACAGGCAGTGATCCAGCTAATCCACATGGGCTAGAAAATGGGCTGTGCTTCAGCCTGACATATTGACGACAGGTCTTGTCCCCCGCCACAGCACAGACACACTCTGCTACCTTGGGGAAGGCCTGGGGGGTAGAGCAATGACCCTGGGCCGGGCTGTCAGCACCACTTCCCCACGGCTGGCTTCGATCAGGATGTTCCGCAGCGTGTTTTCCAGCACCAACTCCACCAGGTTCCCTAACGCTGGCTGCCTGGAGGGGCAAAAGTACAGGCAGAGAACAGCTATCAGAAAGCAGATAAGGCAGGCTGCTGGCTGTGACTCCTCCCAGGACACACCAGGCACAGCGGTGGAGCACACGCTGTTTCCTACATGCTGAGGCCAACGAACTTCAGACTTGAGCAATGGGGTGCTGACCCATCTCTCCCAGAACTGCCACCAGCTGGCAACAGGCCCTGACCTCGGACAGAGCTGGGTGACTGTGGTTTTGCTGGTTTCTCCCTCCAAGCTGTGCTGTACTTCATGTTTTTGCATACGCCTGTAGCAGTGTGCAAGCAAATAGCCACAGCAAATGCAAGGTGATGAAATATTGCAATGAAAATAAAAAGTAAGGTAAGCACACACTGCACTCTGATGTCCAATACGGCCAAGACCGTCTGAGCATAAAGCAGACTTCATTCACCACCCGCATCCTGGCACTGCCCACGGCTCAACCCCAAGACACAGCAAACCTGCACTCTTCACAAACCACACTCGGGAGAGGGTGGCTGGGTGGGCTAGCATCGATTTCCACTCAGAGCATACAGAACACCCCAGAAGAAATGCTACGGGGCTGAAGGAGAAACGGGTTTCTGGCCAGGCAGTATGCCGCCATGGCTTTCCTGCCCATGCAGCTCTTACCTTTTATGTGTGAGCTCTTCCTCACCTGCTCATCATCTCCTTCTGCTCTCCCAGTTGCTCGTGGTGAAAAATCTCCCAAGACTCCAGCAAATCACTTTTGGGAGAGGTTTCCTGCTCCATTTCTTTCCTCTCTCCATTCTTCTCAGGGTAAAGATCTGGTGAAGCAGAGACCCTGGAGGGGACCGTGGACCAACGTCTCCTGTCCTGGAGCTCTGGTGATTCTGCACACCGGAACTGGGAGAAATATGGAATTGGCTCATCCAGGCTTCTTCTCACTGCGTCATGGAACTGGGTGTTCTCCAAGATGCCTCTGAGAGGAGGAAAATAAGGGATGAGTCCCAGCAAATCAAATATCCGTATGACCCCAGAGGATCATTACAAGACAGCACAAATCAGAGGAAAAACCTGACTAATGTCAATGTTCAGTCTGTCCCTTCTTGCTTTCTGGGCTTAAGGGAGGCAGCACGATGGCTTGAGCTAAGGAAACTACCTTTGCCTCTCCAGCACTGGTTCTTTACATTTCTGCAGCTGACGGACAAAATAGGTGAATCCCAATGCAGCCTGTTCCCAAGATCATGGCAGGCAGAGTGCCCTGGTTCCTCAGCAGTGACATCATTCACTGTGCAGGGATGGGCTCAGCCCCTAGCTGGGGAGCAAGACCCTGCCTTTGGCTATCACACCAGTACTCCTGAGCTCATAGACCCCAGGGCAGCCTTTGGCAGGCTTCATCCCCCGCTCTGGTGCAGCAGGAGCGCACAGACTCCTCTGGGATTAGCAGAGGTCTGGCCAGGCTGCACACACTCCTTCGGAGGGCAGGGGCTCTGAGAACCGCGTGAGGGTGAATGGACACACACACCTGATGACATCTGTGAGTATGGCAGTCACTATCTGCAACTCCTGGTTGGAAGCAGCAGCCAGGGACAGCCATTTGGGGTCCATGTCCATCCTGTCTCTGTCCCTACTCCCGTCCACCAACTTGCTCTCCAAGGGCCAGCTGCTGATGGGGCTGAGGAAGAAGGAGTTGTTCCATCAGTGGCAGCACTGCTGCACCAAACTACCAAAGACCGCATGCCCCTGGCTTTCATGCCCCTGGCTGAGCAGCAGCACCGCAGGCAAGTGAGGAACAGTGTGGGGCGCCAGGGAGGAGTGGGAGCTGCTGCATTTGCGACAGCAGCAGGGACACTGTCATAAGAGAGGAGAGGAGCAGAGCAGAGCTCCAAGTTCAGTTCAGATCACAGCATGGGCAGCCCTGGCTCAGATGAAGATGCCAATCCAAAATTCTAGATCTCTTACCAGGACAAGAAGTATTTGGGGATCTCCGAGGTGAAGTTGCTGAAGAAGTCCTCAATAGAGTAGGACCTGGCTGTCACAGAAAGGTGTAAAAGGATGGGCGTGGGAGGCTCTGGTTTGACCCACACCCGGCTGGCTGCTTTGTCCAACAGCAACCTCCTCTGAAAGTGTCCAGCTGGAAGATTGGGCGTAGGGTGGTTTTGAACAGCGGGTAATGTCTGTTGGAGAGAAAGAAATGGTAGGTACTTAGTTGCTCCTTTGGCCACAGGTAGGCTGGTATAGGTGTGAGGCATGAGAACTGGAAAGCCCAGTTCCCAGAGCCACCAGATCCTGGACAGGAGACAGCATCAAAACGATCTTGGCACTGCAGTAGCCCCATCAGGCATGAGCAGCCATGCTGGAAATCGGGTCTGCTACCTGCTCACTGCCTAGTGTGCCAGCTCTGAGTGTCAGCAGGGTTTCAGGGTTTTCCCTGGGCCCTCGGGGCTTTTATGCTCCAATCCATTCCTGAGGAAATCTGGGAGACCATCTACTCTCTTCTGAGCACACTGAGAGTGCTGTCGGAGAACGGATGTGCAGAAACACATGCAGAGATTGTTCCCCGCGCCCAGCAAGAAACCAAGGACTGGAGACTGACTTCAATCATGCTACATGGGCCAGTTTGGGGCTGCATTACCAGCAGTCACTTTGGGGGAAGTTTCTCATGGCAGGAGCAGTCTAGAAGTCTGGGCCAGAAGGACACCTCCCAGCTCTGGAGAAGCCCTTGGGTATCACAGTACTTCAATGACCTTTGAGACATAGCTGTCCAGCTTCTGGGAATGAGGCCAGAGGCCTTCACTGCTCGTGACACAGACACAGCAGGTCATTTCAGGCTCCAGATTGTCACCAGGAGCTAAAACCCGAGAGGTCTAAATTAAACTGCTTTTACTTTTCCTCAACCTTCCTTATGTTCATCCTAGTGGATGTCTTGACCTGCATCACTGATCGCACCCAACGGCACAGGGCAGACAGCCCAAGCTAGAGCCACCCCAAGCTGATACGTTCAGACAGGACAGTGCAGGGCACGCAGAAGCACTCTGCAGGGCCCCAGGAGCCCTGCCACAGCCTTGCTATGGTGGCAGTCCTGAGATAACAAGCTGTGCCTCCTAGCTGAGTCAACCTGCTCAGGCCCAGCCTCACGTCAGCTCCCCTTAACCCTGCCACGTCTTGGGTTAGCTAGTTCTCCACAAGCCACGTCATTCCCACAGCACATGCTGCTGAGCACTGTAGGCGCAGCACGGCTTTGCCTTTGGGCCCAGGCAGTTCTGTGGAGCATTCACGGGGACCTTGTCTCACACCTCATCACCACTGCACACAGTTGCGCAAACTCGAGGGGAAACAGAGATGAACCAGGCAAATGGAGCTTTAAAGCTTGCTGCGCACTTAAGCCAAGGCAGTTCCTGCCCGAGGCTTCTCCCGAGGCACAGAGCACAGCTTTTTTTAGAGGCAAGGGCAAAGTCTGCACCACGTCACACCAGGGGTCATGCCACTTCCCGTCATGGCACACATTACATTGTGGCCCCAGGGCGAAACCAGTCCAAGTACCAGCTGCCCTGCCCATATGCATCTCTTCTGCTTGTTCAAAGCCTTTCCCCCCTTCTCCAGTCACGGGTGTATGTTTGGCTCCAGATTCACTTCCCATTCACCTCAGCTGGAAAGTTACTGCCCACAGGACACAGCCAGACAGTCTGATTCTTCTGGCTCCTTCAAACAGTCTGTCTCCCAAAGCCTTGAAGCTACAAATCCTGCTGTGCTCTCTGTCCTGTCTCCCACGCTGTGACATCCAGCATCTGCCTCTTTTCTAAAGCAGCCAGTTTGATTCTACTATGGGTGAGACAGGCCTGACTTACCTTGTATTTCCTGATCACAGCTGAGGATTCAGGGAGATTTTCTGTCTCAGCAGAATCTGATGACCTCTAAAATGCAAAAAGAAAAAGAAAGAAGGAAGAGAAATCACAGTGTAGGAAACACATGAAGCAGAACAAGACTCCAGGATCTTGTTTTACTTTGCCCCAGCTAAGAGTCAATGATCTCATCCTCCCATTCTTCACTAGGGCCACATTCTTAATCTTAGTGACACATTTCTCTCCAGTGCTTATTCATGGCTAAAAATCCAACCATCTTTCTTCCAGTGCCACTGTTTTGTGTTTTTTTTTTTTCCTAAGGCTTCTCATGCACTTCCACATTCCAGATGATTGTTAGCAAATTCAGAATTTGTAAGGTTATCAGAAAAATCATTTTAATTCCAAGTTCTCCAACTGCTATCCCCTTTCTCAATGTTAAAGAGAGTGCAAGAGGATCCTTTGCTGGAAACCAAGATCTCATTTTCCTCTATCCACAGACCAGCTATGAGATCTTGAGTAGATCTAAGCCTCATGTCCTCTTGTCAACTTGCCTAGATTTTCTTAAAAAAATGTTTCTTGTTGACACCTGGCTGCTGTTTCTGAGCTGAACTAAGCGGGTGTGAAGTTCTGGCAGCACTTACCCCTGCAGGTGACTTCGGCTTCTGCTTAGTCCCAAGGTCCTTCTCTGTGATGGTGAATTCCACAGCCTGCCGTTCCTTCTCACTTTCCCACTCCTGCAGGTCCCTCTCGTACTGAACCAGGGACTCCTGAATATGTACCTATGAAGCAAACCATGATTGGAGGGAGCAGGACTAGAAAGGAGCTGCAAATAACACAGCCTCTGGCTCAAGTCCATACCTTTCAAGGGGTCCCAGACAGAGCCCACTCCCTTTCCATGTCTTCCAGTGGCAGGAAGGGGAGACAACAGTGCTGGTATAAGACTCATACAGAGAAAACACAATCTCCTGCCACAGGGCACCTGGAAATCATCCAGAGGGACACTACTGCAAGTCTGTGCCCTGGCTAGTATTAAAGAATCAAGACTTGCTTTTTACAGATATTTATGTCGGACACCCACTGAAAGGCACTCCCATCCAAACCATGACTTCCAGTAGCTGGTTTCAACTCACAAAGCCACATGTTGCAGTTACACCGCATCTAGAGTGCCACACAGATAGAGAGACACATAGCATCAGCAGAGATGAAGCTCAGTATCTTCAGTAATGGCAAGTGCTGCCCAGCATTATGGAGCAAAGAAGGATTCCTTCAGCTGGAAGCAGCAGGCAGCTGACTGCTGGGGCCAGCTACTTGGGAACCGCAGTTACATGCCCAGGTGATGGTAATGCACAGGTAACTCTTGGGTCTCACCTCACACACCAGATCTATGCTGTAGAAGGAAGGACACCCTAAAGGTTGCAGGGTGATGAAGCAGGGGATGCTCTCTCCAGGCTGCACAGTCCCTGACTCTGGAGCAATCTGCAACACCTGGGGAAAATAAAAAGCCACAGAAGAGCTGTTTACTGCCCTGGGACCTTCATATCTGCCTTCGTTTTGCAGCAAAAACAGGATTATGGGAATTCCCTGCTCTGCTTGGAGGTATGCAGCGTGAGAACAATGCAGCCAATATGTTCAAAGAATGACCACGGACTTTCCTGGTAGACAGGGTCCTGAGGTTCACTATCACATCCTGTAGTTCCAGGTTCATGTATCCTCACTGAAGTCTTCAGATGCCCCTTCTGAATTCCTGTCTTTCCTCCCCTGTCCTAACCCTTGCTTTCACTTTTCTCTGCCCTTTCCTTTTGTCAGCTAGTACAAAAGCCAAGTCCCTAGGATCGTTTCTGATTGTCTGGTTGCAAATGGAGCAGGAAGTTGTTTTGTGGCACAACAGAGAAAAGATGGGCAAGCAGGCTGTAGAGGAAAGAGAAGGAAGGACTCACCCTCTCATCTTTCCAGGTGTTTATCTGCCAGGCAAATACAACAGCTTTACTCTCTGAGATATTGTTGAGAAAGACAAGTCGACTGGCTTTGCTGCAGTCTGGGATATTTCCAAGGCAAATCCTGTGGTGTGACAAGGTGGCTGCCTGCAGGAAGCAAGGTGAAACCGGGAGGAATAGCAGTGAAGGAAGATGGGATGTGGCCATTGGAGAACGGCAGTCACACAGTCATCTTCAGATTACCCAGCAATTCACAGACACTATTAGCCAGTTACCTTTACCATAACAACTTGGGGGGTGTTGCATTTCTTGCATTTTTGCTCTGGTTACAATGACTCTTTGCAGCAAGAGGACAGCCCTGTTGCAGTGGGATTGAGCATGCACTGAACAGAACCCACTGCTGGTGTTGGGACAGGAGAGGATCTCGGGAGTGCAGAGGACCGGTAGCACCAAGATTCTCTCTGCAGCGCTTGCAGTCGGGGCCTTTTCCTACTTCAGTCGGCAAACACGTGAAGTGTGTGCTTGTGCAAAATCCTCATACCAGCCTGTCTCATTCTCCAGCCACAGTGCAAACTCTAATTGATTACAGTGATCATTAGAGAAGCTAATGACTCTTGGTTACAGACAACAGAGCCTTGTGGAGTGGCAACTTTATTGGCAGCCTGAGACAGACTTTTAATCGTCTTCTCTTTGCTTTACCCAGGAATGCAATTGTCCTGCTGGAAGCCAGAGGGCAGATGTAGCTGTGGCTGGGCTCCAAGGCAGGCACGCTCATGTCACACAGGATGAACCCTTTTACCTGCCTGGAGTATGCCTCTGCTGAAGCTGCGTAACGCTGATTCACTACGCGGAGATCAGTGGCTGAGTGTGACAACAGACGGTCCAGGCTGGCAGGCCAGCTCAAGCCAGGCCCAACAAGCTCCCGCTGAGCCAGGGACAGGTCGAAGAAGTGCATGCAGCCCTGCTCCAGCCAGGCCCAACAAGCTCCCGCTGAGCCAGGGACAGGTCGAAGAAGTGCATTCCTCGGGATGTGCCCGAATTCGCGACCACCCCGCGGTCTGTGTTCAGGTAATGCGTTGCCTGAGTTTGGCTGTGAAAGGGAGGCAGCCAAGCCCCCACAGGGTATGTCAGGAGTATTTTTGTGAATGAATTGCCAAAGAAAAGGTATTTTAGCTGTAAATAAGAAAGGTAGCTGTGGTGGACTATAACTTTTAATAGAAAATTCAGAAAATGAACAAACCCTAAAATGTTTTTGTTACTAATAGCTGTGGAAGCAACAAGCTGGAAGGAGGGCACCTTTCAGAACTGGTTTTATGAGTTAAGCTCTAGATGACCTGCTGGAAGGGAAATATCTTGCTCTGTCTCACGGCAACTCCCCTGCAACACAGGCTATTGCTACATGGGGCCAATACCATATTTCAGTCTCTCTCACACATTTCTGGACTAACCATATTATTAATATCAGCATACATGGACTCACCTGCCCGGGCACAGTTAGCTTTGTAGAGCCTGCAAAAACTGTAGGAGGCAAAACTTCACTGGATGTGGCAGTGTCTCCTATGGTATTCAGATCGTAGCCTACTCCCTGGAAGGTGATCAGAGCTGATTCACCTCCTAGGATGTGGATGGGAACATCGACCTGCCTTCGACAAGATAAGAGTATTAAGTCCAGACTCATACTTGGGAGAGACGTGCAAGCAGCTAGTGTACTTGCTAATGGACTCGTCTAAATGCACCATATGCACAGGTCAGGAGAAATCTAGTCTCTTTTGCTCTTTCAGGCCTTGCTAACCCAGGAAAGTTGGTTAAGGAGTCAATTAGCCAGTTACTGTATGAGATAGGCAGGGACTCCCTCTTGGAGCAGAAGTTGGAGGTCTGAAATTCAATTTATTTATTTTTCCATGCATCTACCACTGAGTGGGGCAGTAAGTAGTGCTCCAGCTGTAGCCCTGCCTGCCTGCTGCAGCCTAGGACAGAGGTCTTTGGGCAGGCTGTTTCCAGAGGGCTGCAGCAGTGCACACTGCCATGATAAAAGACACTGACTCCACTCTCTTTGGTAGGAATTATTGGAGGCCAACAATGAACCAAAAATCTGATCAGATACTGTTTATGCCCCTAGTCACCATTTGATCCTTGAGAAATACATATTGGGATGACTCTGGCTGTGGAAGAAATGTGTTCTTTGAGAAGAAAAAATTTATGACACAACAAATTATCTGCTGCGTTTCCTGACCAGACCAACCACTCATTTGCTCTCAAGTCTTTTTGCTTCTCAGAGAAATGGAGCTCAATTCAGCTGTAGCATGACATGGACCAATCATCAATACGAGATCTAAAGAATTTTAGGCACAGAGCAGCAGGAAAAAAAAACCAAACAAAATATTTCTAGCTGTCATGAGGAGGGTCTTACCAAGTACGTTTTGGCTTCCAATGGTGAGAAGACCCACTCAATATGACCTATTGTGCCAGGGGGAATTTCTCCTCTAGGAGTCAAACAGACAAACACAGGATGTCGAAAATTCTCCTCCTGCAGCCTCACAATGTTGTCCAGCTGAACCTCAAACACCACAGGCACGGAGCCACCATTGTATAGTTCATAAATCTGAAGTGAGTCAGAGAGAGCAGTACTTATTATACCACACACAAGTTAAACTAGTCAACGCTTCCCCAGAGGACTCTGATAAGCACTAATAATTAATTAGTCAACTTGTCTCCAAAGAATGAAGAGACCTCGTAGTGTCAGAATTTATCACTGAGGGTCTGATAGGAGACTGTGATGAAGGTTTATCACCATACGTGTACATTGATAACTACAGTGCCCTTCCAAGTGGTGCCCTGCAAATTCAGTCTAGGAGAAAATTAATACAAATTAGCTAAAGGGATCACTATAAAGTAGATTACTTGGAAAGCAAAACCACTCATATTAAAGTGATCTTAATTCAATTCAGAGTTGTTCATTCCCCAAGTAAATTAGGCAGAACAGAATCAAAGCTGCCTTTTTTGCTAAGTGTTTAAGGAATTTTAATTAAATTTACTAAAAAACTAATTAGGATTTATTTCCAGAGTGCTTGGAGCAAATCAACGAGCCTTCACTTGGATTCAATGCAAGAGAATAGCAGAACCACCCAACACAGCTCATAAGCATTCTGGCTAAAGCGAATGCCAAATCTTGTCAAACTGGAGATGGTGAGAGGTACTTTCCCTGCTGCCATCCCATCAGCCATCTCCAGGCTCTGCCTAGCACTAGTCTCAAAGTTCTGCTGTGATGCTTTCCTGTGGACGCTGTTCTGTTTCCTAGGAAATGCCTCAGATGCAGTCTGTCCATGGGACAAAATAACATTAGCTCATTCCCTCCGCTGCTGCTGGGTTTGGCTCCAGAATGCTCACCTGTGTGGGAGGGTGGGTGGTTCCAACGGCAATGGGTGTGAAGAGGTGCTTAGTGGATGCAAAATGAATGTACCTCTGGTCCTGTTCCACAGTCACACCGCTGAAGTTCAGCTACAGTGGAAAGAAATGCAGTCACTTTCTCACAAGGCCTTGGCCCCATCACTAGCAGCCGCACAAGGACTCTGAAGGACTTTATAAGCTGAGGGCAACACAGAGATTTAAGTTGATAACACCAGGACAGTGTGTCCTAAGAAAAAAGCAAGGAGATGGAGAGCCTACTCAACTGTTGGCTCACATCTGCAAAGTTTGCCTCTTGTTTCAGACAGAATGTACTTTTCTCCCTGCTGTGCCAGGCAGCAGCCTCGGTGCTGCTCGTTGAAAGTATATGGTAGAAATTCTCCATGAATGAAAGCGTCTGGACTGTACGTAGGGGAGTGTGGAGCTGTGACAGCCAAATCCTTTGGAAAGACAGGATTTTAGGTAAGTAATGGCCTGCTCTTGGAAAGGACCATCTGTATGTCCTCACTCTGGGGGACATTGTGCTCCAAGAATGTGTCTAATGGTCCAAAAGCTGCAAGAAGATCCCAACTGAATTTTAAGTGATCAAGTAATGACCAACAGTATCTTGTTAGCAAAGCAACTGCCAGGCACTTCAAGCAAAGCAAAGAGATTTATAGAGCTATTTCGTGGAAGGAAGATACACAGGATTCTGCATTTTGACAGAAGTGCAGTCAAGCTTGAGATGAGTCAGGATGCATGATTTCCTGCAGGATCACCCCAAAGCACCCCTGAGCTGTCTACCTAGAGACAGAGGTTGTAAAGCAGTCACAGAACTAGTAACATCTCTGCATGGGCCAAAGGGAGCTGAGTTGCTGCAGTTCACAGTTAGCAAAGCCTAAAGCATAGCTATTTTTCAAGTGCATATGCAGAAGATGGAGAGGATGTTTGCAATGGCAGGTGGGTGCCTTGGACAGACACCTGCAGGACATACTGTATCAGCTGCTTAAACAAGAGCAGAGGATGCTGATTCCTCCAAAACAGCCCATTCAGTTCAGCTCCATAAGCAAAGGGAGGAGGGAGAGAAGACTAGAAATACAATGCTAACGAAGTCCCACACGGGATCTTTTCAAAGCACTACATGAGCATTCAGTCTCCTGAGGGCCTCAGCAAGCCAGATGCAATGCAAAATAGGCAGAGGACAAGAGCCGACACTTTTGAACTGCAAGGGAAAAAGGGACACGAACCTGCCTGAGCTTTGGGAGTGGAACAACCATTTATATCGCTTGAGTCAAAAAGCCAGCTTGGATTACACCAGACCACAACTGCTGAGGAAAAGCTGTCATCAGTTTCCATAGACTCAGGATACGACAATTAGAGGACTATCAGTTAAAGGGAGACAAATGGAGAAACGTGAAGACCTGCTGCCATCAGTTCTGCTTCCAGAGTGCCCAGACTTTGTCCCACAGCAATGACTTAGAGCATGAGGGGACAGAGACACAAGATTTCCCAGGGAGGAGAGCTGCCTGAAGAACACGTGCTGCAGGTGACAACATCTCACAACACCCAATTAGCAGCTATGAAGCAGAGCACAAATACTTCCAAGTTTTTGGATCCTGTGTGCTCGGGGATTCTCCCTTCTCTCCAGCGAGTTCTGGGAACCAGCCTACCTCATCCCGCAACAGCTGCAGCCATCTGGGCTTTTCCTACTAAAACTGGTGAGGGGTGCAGATTCTGCCTGGCCAAACTATCCCAGAGTACTGAGAACAAGGTCACAGCTGCGCTCTTACAGGCAGGCTATGGCGCTGATGCAAAGAACAACCTGTGAGAGCATTAGGCAGCAGGAGGCCCCGTTTCCCTCCTGCACAAGGGAGTGGGTAACACACAAGTCTACAGAACTTTCATCCTGCAGTCAGAAGGAATTGCCAATGGGAAATCAGTTTGGGTCCTTCAGAGCACCTAAAATTCCAGTCATCTCAGGACTGAAAGGTGGCCACTGAGTGGGGAAGGAGTAATGGAGAAAGAGCTCCTCCTGAAAACGAAGCAGACAGACTCTGTTGGGGAAGCAGAGGAGTGGGAGGCCAAAATTTGTCCACATGGGTAAAGCCATCACAGAGGCGAGTTCAGACCCCCCAAAAAATCATGCAGTGGCTTGCAGCTGGCTAATATCACTGCTCCAAAGCCAGGCAATTTGGAATTTGACAGAATAATCAGGCAATACTCCAGCCCTACGGTCTCCACCTCTGCTTATTGTTGCTATCTCAAGTTTCCAAAGTTAAACTTTTGGGACAACATCACAGCATTTGCTTCTCTTAAGGATAGCATATGTTCTGCACATTTCACTGGATTCCCAACTGAGGATCTGTGCAAGTTTGGCACATGAGTACACTTCGAGCAGTCTCTGCCATGGGGGCTGGCGGCTCTGTGCTCTTCACGCCGTGACTGAGGAATGAAGGCACACTGTCTTCAGCCCCTCAGCTGCCCTATCTGCAGAAAGGGGAGACTCTTCCTTTTCTACTTTCTGATATTAGCAGTTCAGTACTGGCACTGTGCAGCCCTGCAGGTTGTAACCACCTGCACTGCTCCAGGTCTTTGGACTGGCCTCCAGAGCTCCAGTGCACCCAGGGGTCTTTTATCACCCCCAGGGCCTGCCATGCTTTTTCAGCCCCTTCTGCAGTCACAGCATGAAGTAGGGTGGTGGCCTCTGGCAGCCACCAAAGCCACGGGCTATGTGGCAAGAGGGGATGTGTGTTCTGTAGGCTGCTGGTGCTCCAGAGCCTATTCCCTCACTGGACAGCTGGTGAAATGCTCACATCCACACTCAGGATTGTGCCAGGCAGGCAGAGCACAGGGAGCCTGTCCAAGGGCTTTGAGGGAAGGCACAGTTAAGCCACTGTTTGAACAGCTTGGTCAAAGGGTTGGATTTTCAGCTGACAACAGTCCATAAAGAAAAGAAAAATAAGAGACGTGTGAACACAATAGTTTCATAGGAAAATTCAGAGACAGACAGGAAGGCTCAACCGGGTATGAGCTGTGCCCGGCAGAGCACAAGGTGACTTTGACTCTAACTGACAGTTTGAGAGAGGGCGAGAGAGAGAAATCAGTCCCAAGCCTGAGGAAATGCTCAGGGAAAATACACTGCAGATCAGCTCTGGGATGCTTTAGCAAGCAGCGAAGCAGGAAGAATGAGTGGGAAGCTTCACCATTGGCATTGTGGTTTAACCCAAAACCAGACAACTGGCAGGAGAACTAAGTGGGTGGACACAGGCATCAGGGCTGCAGTGGGAACAGCCAACCAGGAAATCAGGGAGAATCTTCTTGGCCCAGGGAAGCAGGTGCCTCCATAACTCCAGAGCTGGAGGACGGTCTGCCAACATTGTGCCAGCACATGTGTCCCCAAACTTCAGCCAGTGCAGATGGTACTTTTGGAGAAAAGCACTTTCCAGGGGGTTTTGAAGAGCATAGAGAGATGATGAGATGTAGAGATTCAGGAAAGCTGCGTATAAGAGAAGTCAGATGGGCTGCAGAGCTGATCTCCAGGATGGCTGTGTGGAAGAACTCATGGTAACGCAGATGAAATGTAGGGAAGCAAGCACAGAAATCCTGTCCATGAGAGATACTTGAGTGTGGAAAGCATGCAGAGACTGTAAAACCCAGGAAGACTGTTTTGGACTTGAAGTTGGCTTGAAGGAGGAAGCAATTCTGCACTAACACCACCAATAAAATAGAAAGGTTAATAATAACAGTAAAAAAATCCCTTTCTGGGGAAACCAGCATATGCTACATCCAATAGCCATTTAGCCAGCACACTGCCACATCACACCGTGCTGGAACCGTGGGTTTGTCAGGATATTGGTTTTATGTCTCTGGTTGGCCCTGTGTTACTGCCTGGCCAGTGCAGATTCCAGGGGCAGGCCACAGCCCCCTGCACGCCACGCAGCTTCTGGGGAAAACACCTTGGAATTCAGTTCCTACTTGCTGCTGTTCTGCAAACAGAAAAGAGATACCTGCTACCTTACCAGAATCGCAGTGCAAGAGGAGAGAGAGAAAAACATTAGAAACCAACTTTGTGCCCAGGGTGACAGAATCAGGGTCACACAGTACATTAGAGACAATTCACTTCCCAGCTAAAGAGTCACTGTTGCATAAGGGCCACTGAGAGAGGGAGGGAGACAGAGGGAGGGAGACAGTTGTGTTTGGGTGGGAGCGAGTGGTGTGATGTTGATTTTAGTCATACACCAATTTAGGGACCCAAGTTTCTAGGCCAATGCCATTTGAAATGCCAGTATTTCTCAGATCAGGTCTGCTGTGAAATGGGAGGTGCTCAGCTTTCTTCATACCCTCCACAGGCACACAAGGGCTAGCAGCTATAATAGATGACAAAAATAGCAATATCACTGTATAGTCAAAACCACAGGAAGTGCAGCATCTTGTTTGTCTCCCCAGCCCTCAGGTCAGGGCAGAGCAGCGTCCCCAGCACGTCACGCTAAATGCTTCTTGCGCTGTAGTGTTAAAGCACATTAACAACGTACCCCTGGGGAAGACAAGCTTTGTGGGGTCCAGAAACTGGACATACTCAGGGACTTTTTACTTGCCGAATCTCTGCTAGGCAAGGGCCACATGAAGGGAAAGGATCCAGCGTGGACACACAGGGGACTGATGTCGTGTGCTGTCCCAGCATGCAGTATGAGGCCCTGAAGTACAGGAAGTTGATGTCACCTGTGTGAGAGCTGGACTGATTCCTGCTGTCCTGGGAGAAGTTTCTCTGTCTTTGGGGAAATACTGAAGAGCTGGTTATCCTGAATTCTCATCTGGTGCAGCTCATGGGGGCTAAACTCAACATCCTCTGCCCAGTGCTCCATGTCCATCTTCTGATCAGAAGGAAACAAGAAGGCCCTAGGGAACAAGTCAACTGGTCAGCAACAGGAACACACAACTTCCTCAGGGCCATGGTCGTCTTATTTAGTCCAGCCAGGCTTAGCCCAGCTGGTGGACACATCACGTTTCTTCAGGTCTGATCTGCAGAACTGTCTGCCATCCCTTGCTTTCTTCCCCACTCAGACCCACCAACAGATCTCAGTTGCAGCTCCACAACAAAAGCCGTACTTACAAAATCCACCCTATTAATTTGCAAGCGTCTCAAGGCCCCTGTGAGCATTTCCACATCCCCAGACAGACCCCAGAAAGAAGGCTGAGCTCCAGCAAGCACCACTTACCACTCCACAGGCACCACACCCTTGTTTGCCAGCAGGAGCATCACAAGGGTAGGCTCTGAGCCAATCGAGGCAACCCCAAAGTTGAAGTCCAGCAGAACAGGGGTGTACACTGGAGGGATCAAGCATGTACTGGTCACAGGAGAGAAAGAAGAGATTAAACTGAGACAGCAGGAAGGGTCAACAGGGCATGACAGGAGAAAGAGTCATTCTACACTGCCTCTCTTCCTTATAATTCTTTCTCTGACCTTTTGGTGTTTGCCTTTTTGGGTGTAAGGAAGGCCTTTGGATTTTATCTGGTTTTATATATGCCCGATGGGAGTGAGTGGCATACATGGAGGCTCTGAAAGTCCTGCTTAGCTGAGGCCTCTTTTCAGCTCCCCAGTACAAGCAAGTCACTGACATACTGGAGCAGGTCCATTGGAGGGTCACCAAGGTGGTTGAGGGCTGGAGCACATTATTTACAACGAGCAACTAAGAGACCTTGGTTTGCTCAGCTTTCTGAAGCAAGGGCTTATGGAAGGCAACTGCGTAAGTTGCAACACAAGGTATTCCGATTAGATACTAGGCAAAACAGTTTTTACCATGAAAGTGGTCAAACACTGGAATCAGGTGCCCAGACAGGCTGTGGTTTCTTCATCCTTGGAGATATTCAGCATTGAACTGGACAAGGACCTGAGCAAACTGATCTAGTTGTACCTGCTTTGAGCAAGGGGTTAGACCAGAGACCTTTAGAGGTCCATTGCAATTAAATTGTTCTTTGTTTCTGTGTCTCCTCTCTAGGGAGGGTAAGCAGAGAAGCAGAGGTGAGAAATTGCCTTCAGGAGCTAAGATACAATACCAAAGGGCCATGGAGCAGTGAGCTGCAAACAAGCCAAGAGCCACAGCATTTCTGTCTGGCTCATGTGAAGGACTGACAGATCCTCCGAGGTGCTTCCTCGTCTCACCTGTGCCTTGTGGGAACTCTGTAGGTGAGCTCGCTGGGAGTCGGGTCTTGCTCCAAGCATTTGTTCAGTGTGTCCAAGGAAAAGAGCCTCCAGAGGTGTAACTTGCTGATACCACTAGCACTCCCTGCTGAAAAGGCCTCTG